TCTGGAATTTGAATATGATATTCCTGGTAGTTTTCATTTTGGGATCTCTTTCAGGTAATAATTGGTGGATTCTTTCAATTTCTATTTTACCCTCTGGTTCTAGTGTATCAGAGTAGTTTTCCTTGATAATTTCTTGAAATGTAATGTCCAGGCTCTTTGATCATGACTTTCAGGTAGTCCAATAATTCTCAGACTGTTTCTTCTTGATCTGTTTTCCAGGTTAGTTGTTTTTCCAAAGAGATACTCCACATTTTCTTCTATTTTTTTTCATCCTTTTGATTTTGTTTCATCATTTCTTGATGCCTTATGGAGTCATTAACTTCCATTTGTCCAGTTCTAATTTTTAAGGATTTATTTTCTTCAGTTAGCTTTTGTATCCCTCTTGCCATTTGGCCAGTTCACCTTTTTAAGTAGTTCTTCTCTTCAGTGGATTCTTGTACCTCTTTTTCCATTTGGCCAATTCTGGTTTTTAAGATGTTATTTTCTTCAATAATTTTTGTGCCTTTTTAACCAAGCTGTTGACTTACTTTTCTTAATTTTCTTGCTTCATTCTCATTTTTCCCCCCAATTTTTCCTTTATCTATCTTATTTGATTTCTAAAATCCTTTTTGAGAGCTTCCAGGAATTCTTTTTGGACTTGAGACCAATTCATATTTTTTTTTTTTGAGGCTTTGGATGTAGTATTTTTGACTTTGTTGTGTTCTTCTGAATTTATGTCTTGATATTTCCTGTTACCAGAATAACTTTTTATGGTCAGATTATTATTATTATTATTATTATTATTTTGTTTGCTCATTTTCCCAGCCTATTTCTTGACTTACAACTTAGTTGGGCTCTGCTCCCAGGATGGAGGGGGCATTGTCCCAAGCTTTAGGCCTTTCTTACTGCTGTTGCAGAGTTACCTTTAGGGTCTGTAGGTTTTCAGTTCTTTCCAGGTGATATGATCTAAGAAGAGGGGTAGTCACTACTCTTCTGGCCTGTGCTCTGGTCTGAGTAACCACAAGCACTCTTCTCCACCTTGGAACTGTGACTAGGGTCCCTACTTTCTTCTGCAGCTGCAAGTGCCATCACTTTTTATGTCCCTGGAAATAAGATGGGCTCCTACTCTCCTAGGGCTGCTATTGCTGGTGCTCCTTTCTGCCTTGGACCCGAGACCAGGGCCTCTGCTCCCTTGTGAGCAACCGCAAGCACTTTTCTCTGCCCTAGAAGCATGATCAGGGCTCCTGTTCCTTTGATGCACTACTGCTCCTTTTCCCCCTGGAACTGTCACTGGAACTGTTTATGGACAATACAAAAGGGTCTTGTACCCAGTGCCAGCAAAGGGTTTCCTGTAATCTCTTTCTGAGCAGTTGTCCAACACGTTACTGTCTGGGGGCTGAGAGCTCCCAAAACTGCTGCTACTACTGATGAGCCACCTCCAATGCCTCCTACTGGCTTGCCAGCACATGGCCTGTGCTGCACAGGCCCAATCACCACCCCAGTGAGACAGACCTTTCTTGCCAACCTCCTAAGTTGTCCTGGTCTGGAAAATTGTTTCTCCCCAATCTTTTGTTGGTTCTATCACTCTACAATTTGATTTGAGGCATTATTTTAAAGTTGTTCAGAGGAGAATTTAGGAGATTTCAGATGAGTTCCTATCTGTACTCCTCCATCTTGGCACTGCCTCCATTTTCCAGTCTTTTTCCACCTCATTCTGCTTCATGCCCTCTGTAATCCAGGGACACTGGCGTCTTCATGGTTCTGGAACATTCTGGAACATTCCATCTTAACTGATCATTTTTGGTGACTCTCTGTCATGCCTGCAATATTCTTCTTCCTCATGTCTACTTCCTAGCCTCCCTCAAGTCTCAACTAAAGTCCTGTTTTCTGCGAGAAGCCTCTTCCAGTCTCCCTTAATCTGAGTGCTTTCCCACTGAGACTACCTTTAATTTTTCCTGTATATATCTTATTTTACATAGGTGTTTGCATGCTATCTCTCCAACAGACCATGAGCTCCTTGAGACCAGGGACTATTTTTGGCCTTTCTTTGTGTCTTTAGTATTAGCACAGTGCTAGTTGATTGACTGAAAAAGAAATCAAAACAGCAATGAAGTATAAAGCAGTGCCAAAAGGTGCAGAGATAAAGCAAAGCAGATGTCTCTTATGAGGCCCAAGAATAGTCATAGGATCTGAGCTGTGACCTTCTACGTACCTCCTAGCTGTGTGATCCTCCTAGGCAAGTCACCTAACCCTGTTTGCCTCAGTTTCCTCATTTGTAAAATGAGCTGGAGAAGGAAATGGCAAACCACTCCAGTATCTTTGCCAAGAAAACCCCAAACGGGGTCATGAAGACTCGGACATGACTGAAAGATTGAACAACAACAGCAACAACAGCAACAATAGCAACAACAACCTACCTCCTGTGAGTCAGACTAAAAATGCTCAGTCTTGGATGAGACAGCAAGTTTTTTCAGGCCAATGATCTTTTTAGAGCCTCTTTAAACAAAGTAGTCTCAATGAACCACATTAGGAAGGGCACCATTTATACCCAAAAGAGGGAGATCGGCAACAACAACAAATGAAAAAAGTAAGGGAAAGTCCACATAAAGGCGCCTTTGATTTTTCTCAGTAGTTTGGAGGATCAGAGATCAGTTCATGAACAGAATCAAGCTGAGAAAATCTTGGGGCTAGGAAGGAATTTCAGGTGCCATGCCTTACACGGCCACCAGAGGGCAAGAGAATCCCTATTATCAGGCTATCTAGTAAAGTCTGGTTAGACAAACTGTTCAAGTGGTTTCTCCTTCACTAAGCAGTTGCCTTTCTATGAATTGTGTTAGGCCCTTGACATTTGTACTTATGCTTTCTGAAGTATTCTGAAGGAATTTCACGAAGCAGAATGGCAAGAGATCATATGACTCTCCCCTTCATTCTAGCCCTAGACCATATAATCGTTGGTTATTGTATGAGAGTAGGCAGGTACAATAAGGAAAGTGTTATGGTGGGAGGTAAGAGACCTGGACTTTAGACTTTCTGACTTCCTGTGTGATCTTAAGCAAGTTAGTGAACCTTTCTGTGCTTCAGGCAGCTAGATGGTATAGTGGATAGAGTACTGGGCTTGTAGTAAGGAAGACCTCACTTCAAATTCTGCCTCAGATATTAGTTGTGTGATCCTGGGTAAGTCACTTAACTTCTGTCAGCCTCAGTTTTTTCCATCAGCAAAATGGAGATAATAATAGCATCTTCGTTCCATGGTGGTTGTGAGGATCCAATGAGAAAATGTATACAAATCTTAAGTGCTACATGAATGCTAGCTATAGTACATTGGAAGAGTAATGAACCTGGAAGCAAGCAGATTTTGAATCATGGTGCTGCTACTTAGGATCATAGATTTGGAGCTAGAAGGGGTCTTAGAGGTCATTGAGTTCAACTTTATCATTTCACATATGAGAAAACCAAGACTGAGAGAGGTTCAGTGATGTGCCCAGGGTCACAGGGCTAGTGTTTAAGGAAGGATTTGAATTCAGGTCTTCCTGACTCAAAGGCCAGTTCTCTATCCTCTATACAACCTAGCTGTCTTGACCTTGGGCAATCACTTAGACAATCATTTTTTCTCTCTAGACTCATTTTCCTTGTCTGTGAAATAAAGGGGTTGAATTAGATGATCTTTAAGATCCTTTCCAGCTCTAACATTCTCAATTAATAGATGAGTTCTCTTTTAATTGAAGTCAGTGAGAAAAGGATGGATACTGAAGAGATTAAAAAAAGAGAAGCACTCATATGCACACAAATATTTATAGCAGCTCTTTTTGTTGTGTCCAACATCTCCAGTCTCCAAGGATTTGGAGATTGAGGGGGTGTCCAAAACTTGGGGAATGGCTAACAGTTTATGAATGTGATAGAGTATTGTGCTGTAAGAAATAGTGAAGAGGATGGTTTTAGAAAGACTTGCAAAGACATATGAACTGACAATAAAGTTAAGTGAGCAGAACCAGGACAATAATACATACAACGACAACAATATGGCAAAGATGAACAACTTTGAAAGACTCAGGAATTCTAAACGATATAATGGAATCAACTGCAATTCAAAAGGGCTCATGATGAATCATGCTAGGTAGCTCCATATAGAGAACTAATGGAGTGCAGATTGAAGTATGTTTTCTTTTCTTGGATATGGCTAATGCAGGAATTTATTGTGCTTGACTATATATATCTGTAAAAGGTTGGTTTTTTTGTTTTTTGTTTTGCCTTCTCAATGACTGGGAAAAGGGTAAGTGGAAGGGAAAGAATTCAGAACTAAAAATAAAATTAAAAATAAAAGCTAAACAAAAGGAAAAAAGAAAAGTCTGTATACAGCTTGTTGGGTACTTTTGATCAGTAACCAGTCAAATTAGATAGATAGTTTCTATCTATGCCCAGAGACCTTCTGTGAATCTGTAAATTTTTTTCCATTAAGATGAAAAAACAAAAGGAGTAGAAGAAAAGGAAAAACCATGAAGAAGCAAAATAGGAATAAAAATGTAGATACCATTGAAAAAGTTGACAGAATCATAAGATCACAGATTTCAAGTCTGAAGGGACTTCAGAGGCCACCTAACCCATTTCCTTCATTTTGCAGAGGAGGAGATAGGAGTGGGTGACTTGTTTAGGGTCATATAGGTCAAAGAAGATTCATGTGGTAACAGAGAAAGAGATGATAGTTGGAGATAGAAGACAGAAATGGCAAGAGGTGACCAGTTATGACAGAGCTAGAGAAATTAGGGAATATTATATAAGATAAAAATTAAGGTGAAGACAGAAGAAGGAAAAGATGGACATAGGGTAGAGAAGAAAAATAAAAGGAAGTTAGCTATATAATGATTTCATATATGTAACAGAGATTCCCATCCAAAACAGATCCAGCCCTTCCCCACTCTGAAGTTATGTGTTGAGTTGGTGGTTGGGTTAGTTGTGGATTCCAGGTGAAATTGAAGAGCATTGGAAACATCCCTCTAACTTCAGAAACATCATTTCTTAATGTCTCAGCTCTCCCTTGGTTGCTTGATCTTCCCCAACAGCCTCTCAAATGCCCCCTTCACCTCCTTGTTTCGCAGGGTATATATGAGGGGGTTTAGTGCAGGAGTCCCCACAGCATAGAAAAGACCAAAGAATTTTCCTTGGTCCTGGGCATAGGGGTTCTTGGGCTGGAGGTAGACAGTGATAACAGAACTATAGAAGAAGGAGACTACCAGGAGGTGGGAAGAGCAAGTCCCAAAAGCTTTCTTCCGTCCTACTGCTGAGTTAATCTTTAGCACAGTCTGGACAATAGCACCATAGGAAACCAAAATGAGTGTCAGTGGCACAACCAGGATGAAGACACTGGCCACAGCCATCTGGATCTCATTGTGGGTGGTGTCCTCACAGGAAAGGCGGATAAGGGCTGGGACTTCACATACAAAGTCATGTACTCTTCTGTGGGAGCAGAATGGTAAATGAAGAGTGGGTGGTGTCTGGACCACAGACTCCAATAGTCCAATGATCCAGGCTGTAGTTGCTAGTCTCTGGCTAAGGCGGGGGTGCATGATGATGGCATAATGGAGGGGTCGGCAAATTGCCACGTATCGGTCAAAGGCCATGACAGCCAAGAGGATACACTCAGTGGTCCCTAGAGCCAGGAACACAAAGAGCTGAATGGCACAACCATTAAAGCTGATGGTCTTCTCTGGACCCCAGAGGTTGGACAACAACTGGGGAACACAGCTTGTGGTGAAGCAGAGATCTAGGAAGGAGAGGTTGCAAATAAAGAAGTACATGGGAGTGTGGAGTTTGGAGTCCAGGATAGACAGCAAGATGATGAGTGTGTTGCCAACCAGAGTCACGAAATAGGAAGCCAGCACTACCACAAAGAGGGTTTTCTCTAACTTGGGGTGGTCAGAGAAGCCCAGGAGAATAAAGCCTCCTGGGGAGCTTTTATTATTCATGGCCTAGCTTTGATCTGGGCTCTGGAAAATGAAAGAGAGAGAGAGAGAGAGAGAGAGAGAGAGAGAGAGAGAGAGAGAGTTGAGACATTTCTCAAGCTTTTAAAATTTATGTTGTTTGTGCCTGTGAACTTGTCAAAACACAGCAGTTAAGGTATTTTTTTCTCCCTTTTCTTATTCAGTGAACCAACTCCATTTACATACCTCTATACTGACACCTCTTCCCATAGACAAGTTATATAATATACAGTAGCCATCCTTTCAACTCTGTTAACTACCACCACTATCCTCTGTCCTTTTGATAAGAAATTTGTAAATGTAAGAAAACTCAAGATGTCCTGATTAATTGATTGAGTAAAGGGGAGAACATGGATTGTGTCCCCTCCTCTTATCCTATGTTCTGCTCTTTTTAGATGACAGGGATATTACCAAAAAATTATAATAATGAAAAAAATTCTTTTGTTTAAGAAAATGAAGTTCATGACCAGGAGACTGTGTGTATAGGATATCTGCTTGGCATTTGTTTTTCTGGGAGCAGGAATGGGAGCAGCACCATCCACACACTTTTACTGATGAGGTCTAGAGGTGAGGGGTGCTGGAACCCCTAGATCACAACACATGGGTCCTGCCTGAAAGAATTTGACCCAAGTCTTCTTTCAGCCAAAGACAAGATTTATTAAAGATCCACCATATTGGCTAGACTCTTAAGGAATCTGAGCACCTGTGAGCTAGTGGCCAGATTGTAAAAGTCTCAGCAGTGGCTAGATTGTAAGAATCAGAGCCTCTTAATGGAGACAAGATGGACCTTATGTACAGAAAGACTGTGGGAGGGATCTAGGAGTGACCAAGTAGTTTGGGGTGACTGGAGGAGGGGTCTAAGGAAGATCTGAATGAGAGTGGCCAGTCAGCTAGGGTGAACAGGTCTCCTGGGACCTGGACAATGGAGCCTAATTAGGATTAAGTGTGGGAATGGCCAGGGGTCATAGGGAGGGCTAGGCCAGGTTAAGGGTAACAGAATTGGGAGATTGGGTGTAGCTACAAAGAAAGGCCAGTTGATGGGATTAGAGCCTCAGGCAAATGCCAGAGATTTGCCCATGTGAGAAAATCCAGGGTTTTTCCTTTTTGGGATTTAGCTCCCATCCTCATCATCACCCTGTTCTCCCTTACAACCATTCTACAAACTTGGGGCAAATGGCTAGATTTAGTCATCTGTTCTGAGCCTGAGAAATAGAATTTTCCTCTTTTGGGAAGCTAACTGGTTCAGAAAGTCTCTTTCACACTATATGCAAACCCACTGAAATGACCCAGAGAAAAGAAATGGGAGACATGATCCATGCATATGAAAAGCCTTTGGTCTAGTTGGAGAGACAGAACAAATACAGTAATGGAAAAAATCAGATGGAAAATGAAAAATTTTTAAAAATAAATTGAATGCAGAGGACACAAGTTCATGAGCATTAGAGTCATAGGGGATCAAGGAAGTTCTTGGGGGAGGTGGCCTTGTTCTTTGGAGTTAAGGTGAAAAGAACTGGGACGTGACAGAGGCATAAGGAAGGCTGCTTAGGCCAAATCTCAGAGGTAAGAGATTGAGATTGTTCCATGGGACAAATGGGGGGTTAATGGTGTCCTGAATGCAATAGGCAACACTTAATAGTGGGGTCAATAGTAGGGTCAACTGTTCCTGAGAGGTCATCTTGGTCATAGTCTTGCCTTGCCTCCAGGCAGGATTGCAATGAATTCTTCCCTGACTAATGACCATCCACTATGCCTTTGAAGGTCACTTCCTTGTGGGATCTACATATATATAGATATAGATATACATTTTGTCTCTGTCTCTCTCCATTCCTTGTTTGAAGGAATCTTCATTATCTAGCTATCTAATCATCTCTGCATATTTATCTCACTTTTTCTCTCTTTTCATTTCTCTTGCTATTCTGACCTGTTTATCTCTGTATCTCTTCAGGCTATCTCTTTGTCTCCCAGTGACTTGTTTCTCTTTGCCTTCTTTCTCTGCCTCACTCATTTAACAGGACTTTGTCTATAGTATTTGAGTGTACATGGTCTTATGTGATTCATTTTCTCTCTTCCCTCTTTTCTGTCTTTTTCCCCCACTACCTCTGTTTATAGCTCTCCCCAAACCATCTCACCCAGGGATTCTTGTCTGTTCCATAAATAGGAGACAAAACCTCCTTTTTGCTAACTGTCAAACTTACTCCTCTCAGACAACCAGAGATCAAATTTTCCACTTACCCTGAGTCATTGACAAAAATCTCCTAGGTGTCTTGCTGTTGGAGCTCCACTATGAGGCAAAGAGCTCTCAGCCCAGTGCCTAGCTACAATCAACCCATTAAGATGAGAACAGAAAAGAGAATAAGGGGAAACTGCTATAAACCACTTTTTTAGAGGCAATGGGGGTTATACTTTAGATAGAACTTAGGGGGTTCTTACTCAACAAAATCTCCCTTGTCTGGGTAGTTTGGTGCAGATACAAGGGGTTGGGGATTGGCAAAATCTTAAGTAATGGTTGACTTCTTGGGTGGTGGGGAAAAAGCCTCAAATTCAGAGTAATGGCCATCTTACAATCTCACCAGCTAAGAAGGAGGAAATGAAAGGCACTAAAGAGACCTCATTGTGGTATTAGAAAGAGGTTACAAGTGATTGAGGAGGAACAGATCTCTGACCTCTCATCCCCTGGAGAGATGTAGCTCATTAATTCTTTGAAGACCCTAGGGAGGGCATGGGGTGGGTGCAGGATCTAGGCCCCAAGCCAGCAATTAACTTCTAGGGCTCTTGATGAGGGTGAAGAGAGAAATAGCTCAGGGAAATGAATAATAGCAAAGCAGCAATTGACAATGCCAGATAAAATTGGTTATCTTTTGCCTGATAGCAAAGACCAGAACATCCAGATTGACAATGCAGGGGGTACTCTTAATAGAACTTTTAAAAAAATCAATTTTTGTTGACAGTTTTTAAAGACATCTCCACTATATCTCTCCCCATTAAGGGCATATTTTTGCAAAAGATTTTTTTTTTTAAGAGAATAGCAGTTTAGCAAAAATAGCCATGTATGAACATGTAAGAACACAAACTGAATTTTCCATACCTCTAGTCACCTACTTATGCAGTGGAGGGAGATGCATTTTCTCATTTGTTCTCCAGGGCCAGTTTTAGTCATTATTTTATGTCTTGTCAACCTCCAGAGTTTGGTCTAAAAAACAAACAGAATTAGGGTGTATTCAAGTTTATTACTTTCAAAGTATGTGGGCATGCATATGGATGCATGGGAGCTACAATCAGTAGCTGAGCTCAAAAAAAGGTTTAGTTGAAGGAGATTCTATACCCATAGAGTGAGGAAGTGTTCCCTCCTCCCTCCCCCTTGACTCAGGGTGCCTGTGTCTTTGGTCAGCCAAGATTATAGTTCCCAATAAGCAACGAAGTATCCCTGACTCAGGATGTCTGTACTTTTGTTAGCCAAGGTTACAGTTTGATTTCTTATGATTTATGATTTCTTATTTAAGGCAAGAGAGTGCTCCCAGGGTGTCTGGATTCTGTCAACCATAAATAAAGGAATGTCGTAAAACAAGAGAGTATCATAATGATGGGGTGGTGGGACCTGGACCCCAAAGGCAAAGACTGTGTCTCTGGAAGCACCCCTAATCTTAGTGGGCCCCTGTGAGAAAATTCTCTCCTTGTTACAGGCACATAAAGAGTTAACCCTATAATTCCTTAGATAAAGGCTATCAGTACTGACACAGGGGTGCTAGCCCAAAAGCCATGGTGCTGGCTCTTTTCCTGGCATCAGATCCCCAAGGACAATGTCTCTGGCAAACCTTTGTATAAACAGAACTATCTTGTCCCCTCAATAAAGTTATCTCTATGCACTCCCTGAATTTTCCCATTCATCCCAGAAGTCCAGATCATTGACCCCTGTGCCCCAGGCACCTGGCCCAACCCAGACTACCTGCACCTAATTAGCATACTTGGCATTCCTTTTCCTGTCCCTTTTCCATATAAGCATTATCATCATCCTCTTTAGCTTGGAAGTTCCCTAAGGAACTTTGACCCCTTCTATTGGCATCACAATAAACTTTGCCACTTGACTGGAGGATGGTTTGAGTGTGTGAATTCATTCTAGGCTATGCTGCTCTATACCCTGATATTTTGGGCATCCCAGTACCCCCAAACCATGTCATCACCCCTAAACTGAATCAATAACAAAATAGTGTCTTAATAAGAGAGGGCCATAAAACAATAAGATAACAAGAGAAATGTCATTAATCAAGATAGTGTCTGGTTCATGGCTCTTGGTTTTTATCAATCATAAACTGGAGAATTCAGCTTAATTCAGTCTTGGGGTTGCTGACATAGCAGAAGAACTTTTGATTTCACTCAGAGAACATCACAAAGCATTACTGGCATAGGGTCAAATCCTCCTCTCAATCTGTATCTCTCTGTTTGGGTGTATATAAGGTGAATGGTGCTAGGAGTTCTCTAATGCCAAGCAAAGCTGCATACCAGTGACAGGAGTATCAAAGGTGCCCCTTGTCAAACCCAATAAATTACAGAGTCTGTTCTAAGAAAGAGCCAAACAAAATTAGGTTACATGTGTCCATGGTTTAATTTTTTTCAAGCTGGTTTGACAAGCATTGCATGGGAGTTTAGTACAAAACTGGGCCCCCTAAGAAGTCCAGCTCTGAACTGACTTGATTTGGGATTTGGGAGTACAGGGTTATATGCCCTTCATAGAGTAGGTATTCCCAAAGGATACCAATCAGCCCTGATTGGTCGACATACCAGGAGGTGGACTATATTAAAATGAGGTCTTGATTACATGACAAATCACTCTCTTGGTCAACAGGGGCTAGTATCACTCACCATCTGGACAGAGGAAATACTGCTACCAGTCTTGGAATCTGTCTCCACTCAAACCTGAGCAGATTAAATCAATTCAATTAAATCAATTTAAACTCCTGGAGTTTGACCAGGATAAGCTTATTATCAGT